CTGTGTACTTTGTCCAAAGTTGATGTTTTAAAATGTGTTCGAGATTTTTATAAAGTGATTTGTCTTTGGCACATTAAAGGTGGTTTGAGTCTTAAAAACAAAACAAAACTGGGGGCTGGAGAGATGGCTCAGAGGTTAAGAGCACCGACTGCTCTTCCAGAGGCCCTGAGTTCAATTCCCAGCAACCACATGGTGGCTCACAACCATCCGTTATGAGATCTGGTGCCCTCTACTGGTGTGCAGATAAACATGGAAGCAGAATGTTGTATACATAATAAATAATTTTTTTTTAAAAAATCACATTTCTAAAAACAAAAAACAAAACTGGAAAAGTTGGGATTGGTTATATCATCCTGATTATTCTCTATACATGAATTCCCCAGTGAATATTTTTTATGTTTAGTGTTGTGTATATACATGTATACGTACAGAGGGGTGTGTGTGTGTGCAAACCAGAGGTCAACTTTGGTGTCATTTTTCTGGTCCCAGCTACTTTTTTTTGAGCAGGGTCCCATTAGCCTAGAACTTCCTGATTCCGCTAAGCTGGCTGGTCAGCAAGCCCAAGGAATCACCTGTGTTGTCATCCCAGTTCTTACCATCCCTTTATGTGGGTCTGGGTTGATACTCAGGTCTTGATGCTTGTATAGCAAGCATTTTACTAGCTGAGCTATTTCCCCAACCTGGCTTTCAGTGGCTTTGTTGTTTTACTTATTTAAATTTTTATTGGATTTACACGTGTCCTTGTGCGTTTATGTGTTTGTGTGAGTGTATCAACATGTATGAAGGTGCCACTAGAGACCAGACCTTGGAGCTGGAGTTAACATGTGGCTGTGAGCTGCCTGACATGGATGCTCGGATCTGACTCTGGTCCTCATGACTGAGCAGCAGTTTTTCTTAACTCCTGAGCCATCTATCCAGCCCCTCCGTGGACTTGTTTGTTTGTTTGTTAAAGAAATTAATTTATTTAATTTCATGCATATGAGTGTTTTGTCTGAATGTATGTCTGTGCACCACCATGTGAATGCCTGGTCTTAGGGTGTGTCAAATCCATAAAACTGGAGTTACAGATGATTGTGAGCCACACCTTGGATTCTGGGATTGGACCCACAACCTCTGGAAAGAGCAGACAGTATTCTTAATCATTGAGCCTTCTCTCCAATTATTATAGACAATTATTGAATTATCAGTACTTGAAATTTCAGCATCATGGGAAGGTCCTGGACCCCTGGGGGGGGATCTAATTGAATACAACCTCTTCAGGGAGGATTGCAAAGAGGTCTCTGTGTTTGTTTTCTCCTTCCCGGAGGCCAGGCTCTGTTTCTTCCATGGGGAGTAAAAGCTGAAGCTAAGTCCACAGTTTTCTTGTTTGCAGCCCTTGCAGCTGGATGCATTTGGAATTCCAGCTTGGAGAAGGAAGCATGTGGTCAGGGTGCTAGCCTGCAATTAAATACACTAGGGACTAGGATACAACTTAGTGACCTAGTGTTGGCTTAGCATGCCAGAGGTCTGGGATCATCCCACGGACCACAAAGTAAGAACCATATTCATAATGTACCACATTCATAAACAGTATTCATTCTTCCAGGTCCCTTTGGCCCCAATGTGCGTTTGTTCACATTTGCAGAGGGCACTTGCTGTATTCATGAAGTGCTAGGGATGGAAGCCTTAAGCATTGTAGTCAAGTGATTTATCCAACCTCATCCCCAGTTCTGAGAGTCGCTGATTTGCAGAACTCTTTGGACTTGAAAAGTAGATACTTTTTAAGAACTTTGGACAGGGAATGAGATCTCCCTATACTGGCTTTGATGGGGATGGAGTGAGGTATGTAAACCATCCAGCAGGGAAGCACTTGTTAAGAGTTCAGTGTTGGCTATTGTTTCGGGGGTTTTTTTAGGGGGAGGTGGTGGAGGGGTATCTTATTCTACATTCCAGTGCCTTGAATCATGGTGGTCCTTCTGCCTCAGCCTCATGAGTGCTAGTACTTAGACTGTAAGTCTTCCACTGAACAACTGTATGGGAATTTGTACCCAGATGGGTGGATGGTATTTGATGTATGTTTTTGTTCGAAGTGCTGTCATTGGTTTTTGAGTCATGGGCTTAGTGGTTCCTTTTGTTTTGTTTTGTTTTGTTTGTTTTTTGAGACAGGGTTCCTTTGTGTAATAGGCCCGGCTGTCCTGGAACTTACTTTGTAGATCAGACTGGCCTGGAACTTACTGAGATCCTCCTGCTTCTGCCTCCCAAGTGCTGGTATTAAAGGCGTGCTCCACCACCGCCCAGTTCTTAATGGTTCTTTTTTGGTTTTTTCAAGACAGGGTTTCTCTGTGTAGCTTTGGAGCCTATCCTGGCACTCGCTCTGGAGACCAGGCTGGCCTGGAACTCACAGAGATCTGCCTACCTCTGCCTCCCAGTGCTGGGATTAAAGGCATGCACAACCAATGCCCTGGCTCTTAGTGGTTCTTAATAATTATTTCAACACTAAGTGTTAAAAGATATACAAGATATATATCTTGTATTAAACGAGGCATCCCTATGTAAACTAGGCATGCCTAGAACGCACAATCCTCCTGCCTCTGCTTTCCCAGAGTATACGGTTACAGGTGTACCATGTGTGGCTTCATAGTGACTACTACAGAGTGGATGAGTCCCTTATCCAAATGCTTGGAACCCAAAGTACTTTCAGATTTTTGTTTGTTTGTTTTTTGTTTTTGTTTTTCGAGACAGGGTTTCTCTGTGGCTTTGGAGACTGTCCTGGAACTAGCTCTTACAGGCTAGGCTGGTCGCGACCTCACAGAGATCCGCCTGCCTCTGCCTCCTGAGGGCTGGGACTAAAGATGTGCATCACCAACACCCGGCTCAGATTTTTTTTTTTTTTAATATCCCTGATGACCTAAGACTAAACAGTAAATCATTTCTGTGTCACATGCACCCTGTACACATAATCTGAAGGTTTTTGTTTTGGTTAGTTTTATTTTCTCATTGTGTAGACCTGGCTGGCTTGGAACTTTTATGTAAACCAGTGGCCTTAAACTAAAAAAAAAAAAAAAATCCCTGTCTCTGCCTCCTGAGTGTTGAGATTACACATGTGTACCACCACATCCAGTTACCTGAAGGTAATTTTTATAAAATAATACTAATTTACTTGCATTTGAATTGCAATCTGTCACATCAGGTCAGGTCAGGTGTGGAATATTCCTCCTGTAGCCTCAAGTTGGCGATAGAAAGGTTTAGATTTTGACATCAGGCATGGTTATCTTCCTGTAATCCCATCACTCTGGAGACAGGACAAAGAGTGATGAGTTCAAGGTCAGCTCTGAGTAGGTACAGAGATCTGTCTTAAAAAACAAACAAACAAAAAACCCTAGGGGTCTAGAGATGGTATTACTCTTATAGAGGGTTTGCTTCCTAGCACCCATATGTCAACTCACAGCTGTCTGTAACTCTGGTTCCAAAGGATCTGATGCCATCTAGCCACCACTCTTGCCATGCTCAGTCAAAATGACACATACATAAAATAAAGTTTCAAAACAAAAACCAGAAAGTTTTAGGTTTTGGAGGGTGTAACATTTTAGGTTAGAACTGACTATAGGTGGTACACGCCTTTAATTCCAGGACTCATGAGGCAGAGGCAAACTAGAATAACCAGGTCTATAGAGCAAGTTTCAGGACATCCAGGGCTACAACAAGGGAAATCCTGACTCAGGAAAAAAATGGCAAACAAACCAACCAGATTTAAGGTTAGATACACTTATATTTTGTATAGTATTATTATGTATAGTATACTTAATTCCATATAAATATGCCAAACACAGCAATGAGGTCTAGGTATAAAACTCAGAGATAAAATGTTTGCCCATCATGCTTGATGTCCTGGGTTTCATCTTTAACAACACACCAAGCTAATACACACTTCTTTTTATTGTCCTGTTTTGTCTTTTGAAACAGGATCTTACCATGTAGCCCTGGCTGTCCTGGAGCTCACTCCATAGACCACTCTGGGCTCAAATTCACAAATCCACCTGCCTCTGCCTCTGCCTCCTGAGTGCTGAGATAAAAGGTATGCACCACCACTGCCCTGCTGATACACGCTTCTGTTTGTTTTTTAAGGCAGAATCTCGTGTAGTCAAGCCTGGTCTTGGACATCTAATGATCCTTATTCTTTTTTATATATTTATTTAATTTAATTTTATGTGCATTGGTTTCAGATTCCCTGGAACTGAATTACAGACAGGTGTGAGCTGCCATATTGGTTCTGGGAATTGAACCTAGGTCCTCTGGAATGGCAGCCAGTGCTCTTACCCACTGAACCATCTCACCAGCCCCAAACCTTCCTCTTTAAGTGTCAGGCAGTGCACACTTTTTCATATGGGGGAAACTAAAATTATAAGCCAGGTATGGTGGCTTCTGCTTGTAATAGCTAGTGCCTAGGCAACTAAAACAAGAGAAATACTGTGAATTTGAGACCAGTCTGAGGTACAGAGTGAGACCCTATCTCAAAAAGAGGCAAGGTTTTGTTTGTTTTGTTTTGTTGGTTTTTCAAGACAGGGTTTCTCTGTGGCTTTGGAGGCTGTCCTGGAACTAGCTCTTGTAGACCAGGCTGGTCTCGAACTCACAGAAATCCACCTGCCTCTGACTCCCGAGTGGGTTTTTGACAGTAACATAACTTTAAAACTAGTCTCACTTTTGTTTGAGATGGAGGTAACTTTTCTTGTAGTGATACAAGTGTTTTCCTTATGTAATAGAATGATAATTTGGATACTCATTCAGCACAGTAGACTAGTAACTTAAATGTTTACACATTTTTAGTAGTCCTTGTAGGAAGTTAAACATGACTGCCTTTCTACTGGTTGTATTCAAGGGTTTAATTAAAGTTTGGAATCTACAAGTTTTAGAGGTTTCTCATCTGAAGGGAGACCTGCCTGCTAGTCTCTATTGAAATGTCACCTTAGTTGCTTTCCTATGGCTGGTTTGGGGGAAATTAACCACCTTGTGTATATGTTTAGGTTTTGTCCAAGGATCTGAAACCACTTTGCAGTCGACATACTCTGACACCAGTGCCCAGCCCACCTGTGATTATGGTAAGTGTGGCCTGGTGGGAAACAGGGGGCTCTGTCTTCTGCTTGGTTGCTTTTGGCTTTGTTTTCACCCTGTCTTGCTTAATTCAGCCCAGACTGATAAATGGAACTGAGGTCCATTTGAATAGCTTGTGCTTCTTTGGGGCAATCTGTAAATGATAGCTGTATTACTGAGCAAGCTAGCCTGTAAAACATTGACTTGTTTGGACTTTTTCACATTTTGTGGAAGCAACATGGTTCTTGACCAAAGATACAGATTCAGTAACCTCCTTTGAGGATCTGGGAAGAAGCCAGTCAAAGTCTAGCAGTTTTTGACATTGTAACATATGACATTGTTGTCTACAAAATTTTCACTGGAGAGGAATACAATTGAGTTACAAAATAAGTTTTGCAAAAAAAAAACAAAAATCATAGTGCTTTGAGAAAACTTAGATTTTGTGTTCAGTACATTTAGAGCCGTCTCCTGGTGAGCACAACTGGAAAAGTTGATGGGGGAGAGGCCAAGCTGTTTCTTCAGTGCTCCCTCCCCCCAGGGTCGTGGCAGTAGCCTGCCATGGAAGGGACTGCCGTGTGCCATTGTCTAGCTGCATCTCAGAGATTGGGAATTCCCAGTTGGTAATCCACTATGACAAAGCGGAGTAGTCGCCCAGCCCAGTGAGTGCCATAGGTGCTGCTCTGTTGCCAGTGCAGCCCAGAAGTGAGAAAGCTGGTGTCAGGGGTCTGTTCTCCGTCACCACTTGGGTCCTCCTGAGACATCTCTCTGGCCTGTTTCCCTCCCTCCCTTTCCCTTGCACTTATTTATGTGTCTGTGCTTCCAGAATGAAACTCAGGTCAGTCTGTTGAATTGCCTTTGTATCCACTGGAAATCAATTATCTACTAAAGTCTGTTTTCTTTTAGTGGCCTATTCTATGTTAATTATTGGATGATACAAGTCTTGAAATCTATTAAATCTTGAGTCCCATGGATTTGTCCTTTTATTTTAATTTTTTTGCCAGTTTTCTTTTTTAGGTTTGTTTTTTTATTTTATGTGTATGAGTGTTTTGCCTACATGTATGTCTGTGCACCATATGTGTGCAGTGTCCATGGAAGGAAGGCATCAGATCCTGTAGAAATGGACAGATGGTTATTAGTTAACCATGTGGATGCTGAGAGGGTCCTATGCAAGAGCAACAAGTGTTCTTAACTGCTGAGCTATCAATGCAGCCCCTAGATTTATTCTTTCTTTTCTCTGGTTTTTTGTTGTTGTGTTTTTGTTTGTTTGTTTTTTGACACAGGGATTCCAGGGGTCTCACTGTGTAGCCTTGGCTGGCATGGAACTCACAGGACCTGCCTGCTTCTGCCTCCTAAGTACTAAGATTAAAGGTTTGTGCCACCTTTTTTGTCTTTTGGGGGGTTTTCAAGACAGGGTTTCTCTGTGTAGTTCTGGCTGTCCTGGAACTCACTATATAGACCAGGCTGGCTTCAACCTCAGAGACCCCCCTGCCTCTGACTCCCGAGTGCAGGGATTAAAGGTGTTAGCCACTACATCTGGCTTTTCTTACTTAAAAAAAAAAAATCGAAGCCAGGTGTTGGTGGCGCACGCCTTTAATCCCAGCACTCGGGAGGCAGAGGCAGGTGGATCTCTGTGAGTTTGAGACCAGCCTGGTCTACAAGAGCTAGTTCCAGGACAACCTCCAAAGCCACAGAGAAACCCTGTCTCCAAAAACCAAAAAAAAAAAAAAAAAAAAAATTGTCTTGCTTATAATTTGCTTGTTTCTGTGCATAAAATTTTAAAATCATTGCATCGCTTTTTTTTTTATCAAAGTAAATCCTGAAGAGATTTTTGTTTTGTTTTGAGACAAGGTCTCACTCTAAAACCCTATCTGGATTGGAACTTGCTATGTGGATCAGGCTTGTCTTAAACTCAAAGATTTGCCTGCTTCTGCCTAGTAAGATTAAAGGAATTAATTTCTTTTCATTTTTAAAATTTCATTTATATGAATGTTTTGTCTGCATGTATATCTGTGCATCGCTTATGTGCCTGGTGCCCTCAGAAGCCAGGAGAGGAAATTGACTCCCCTAGTACTGGAGTTACATTATAGATTCTGTATGTACCTGTGTGTTAGGGTTTTCTAAAGGATTAAGGCAAATTGACTATGTGTGTGTGTGTGTGTATACATATTAGAAGGGTGTTTATGAGAGTGGCTTATAGGCTATGGTCCAGGTAATCCAACAGTTGCTGTCTCCTGATGGAAAGGCCAAGAATCTGGTAGTGCCCACAAGACTGGATGTCTGAGCAGCTCTCATCTGGTGCTGGAGTCCTGGAGGATTCCTGGGGAACTGCTGGTCTCTGGTCTGCATTGGAATCCTGAAGAAGAAGGGTGTCAAACCAGCGAAGGAGTTTCTCAGCATCCGATGAGCTTGCCAGTGAGAGTGAGGGCAAGCAGACAAAACAAAAGCGTCCTTCTTCCACGTCCTTTTATGTGGCTGCCACCACTAGGTGTGGCTCAGATTTTGGGTGGGTTCTGACTTCAAATGACCCAGTCAGGGAAAGTCCCTCACAGGCTACCCAGCTGCTTGGGCTTTAGTTGATTCCAGATGTCAGGTCCAGATGGCAACCGACATTATCCGTCACAACCTGGTATTTAGTTGAGCAGGTTGAGATTATAATCCTTAATGTTGACCCAGTAGAGCATGTTCACTTGGTCTATTGGTGTTGCTTACTGTGGGCCTCTCCTTCTCTTTTTGAGGCAGGATTTGTTTGGTATCACCAGATGGCATGTGACTTTTGCCAGTCCGCCTGACTTTGCTGGGATTATAAATGTAGAGGACCATACTCAACTTTCCTCTCTCTTAAAATTTCCTCTGTTGCCAGGCGTTGGTGGCGCACGCCTTTAATCCCAGCACTCGGGAGGCAGAGGAAGGCGGATCTCTGTGAGTTCGAGGCCAGCCTGGTCTCTAGAGCGAGTGCCAGGATAGGCTCCAAAGCTACACAGAGAAACCCTGTCTCGAAAAAACAAAAAAACAAAAAACAAAAACAAACAAAAAAAAAGTAAAATTTCCTCTGTTAGCCTGGTGTAGTGGCACACCATCATCAGCACTTTGGAAGCAGAGGCAAGTGAGGTTTGAGGTCAGCCTGATCTACATGGTAGGGCAGCCAGAGCTACACAGTGAGACCCTGTCTCAGAAATAACTAACTATGCAGGGTGGCGGTGGCATTTACCTTTAATCCCAGCAATGGGGAGACAGAGGCAGGAGGATCTCTGAGTTGGAGACAAGCCTGTTCTACAGAGTGAGTTCCAGGACAGCCAGGGTTTCAAAGAGAAACCCTGTCTTAAAAAACTAATACAATTCCTTTGTCAACCATGAACTCATTCCCTCCGGACAGAATCAGTAGAGATGCTTTTTCTGAAGAGGCAGGTCTCATGGATGCACATTCTAGGTGTAGCTTCCTTCTGAAGGGACAGCCGCCTACCCCCTACCTCCTGAGAGTCCATCAGAGAGTTGCAGTCATTCCAGGTATAGCAAGTAACATATAGTGAAAGCTTGCCCAAAGGGACTCCTGTAACCCATGTAGGCATTCAACTTGTGATTCTTCTAAGTAAATAGGATTACCTGTGCTTAATAGCTGGTGGCAAATCCTGTCACAGGAGGCCATTTGTCTCTCCTTGAAACATAAAGTCTTCCACTGACTCACTCCCTTGGTTTCTTACTTAGTTCTAATAGCTCCTTGGTAGCTAAAGCCTGGATGACACTTAGAACCCACCCCACAAACAGTCCTAGTGTATGTGTGCTTGCCTCCCATCCCCGTGAGAGCTGGTGTCCACTGTTTCTGATGCTGTCACCCTGCCTCATGGCCAGGCTCTGATTGTCTTCATGACTCTGCTGACCTCCTTTCTTGCCTGTGGAAATGGCTTCTAGAGCACTCTTCCTTGGAAGGTCTTTCTCTTCCGTATGTTCTCTAACCAGCAAGCAGCATTTCTGCATGAACAGCATCTAGGAATTCGGTTGCCAAGATACTTGTTGTGAGACAGACAGACAGATCTCTCTATACACATAACACACACACACACACACACACACACACACACACACACACACACACACACACACGGTTAGGTTTCCTCATCCTGAGAGGATGTCTCTTGCCACTGTTTATTAAATGTAGCCGTCTTGTAGAATGGCTTAGCTGGTTCCCATCAACTTTCCATTTTGTTTTGTACAGCCCAAATGCACATGGTTTCCATTTAGTTTCCCCTTTCTCTATCATTCACTATGCTGTCTTCTCACTGCAGTTTGCTTTCCTGTCCAAGGATAAATATGGTTTGTCTGTCAGTGGAGCATTTGTAGCATGTGCTAGGAGGTGACTGGGACTCTCACCAGAGGTACTACCAAAGTGGGCATTGGTGCTGTGTGTCCCTCTGGGGAATCCTATTGACTCAGTTCTCATGTGGCATTTGTACCTGTGGCCTTTACTCTCCTAAAGGTATGAATTTTTACTACATGGGATCAGATCCAGGGTACATTTAGTTTAGGATTCACATTGTTCTTTCAAAAACACCTCCCTCCCCGCACCCTGAGGGTTTCTCTGTAGCTTTGGAGCCTGTCCTGGCACCCTGTAGACCAGGCTAACCTCAAACTCACAGAGATCCACCTGCCTCTGGCTCCCAAGTGCTGGGATTAAAGGCGTGTGCACCACCACCACCCAGCATCAAATACTTTTTAAGCTAGGAGTTATGCTTCCCCCAACCCTAAGTGTTTTGTTGTTGTTTTGTTTTGCTGGGACAGTCTCAAATGAAACAATTTCATACCCTGGAATTTCCTGTGTAGACCACGATGGCCTTGAACTCACAGAGTTCTGCCTGCCTCTGCCCCCTGGGATTTTTTTTTTCAGTGTGGTCTCACTCTGTAGTCCAGGATGGCTTGCGACTTACTATGTAGCCTAAGATTGTTTTGAACTTGCACAGATCCTTCTGCCTCTGAAGTGCTAGAATTCCAGATGTACATCACCATGCTTGGTTCTGGGAGCTGCTTATTGTCCTTCCCCTAATGAATTATGCACCCAGATATGATGATGTCATTCAAGGACTTCTTGGCCCTCCCTGTTAAGGCAGATGTTTAGGGTTCCTGGACTGTCTGTTTCCCTGCTGCAGCTGAGTGGTAGGGTGTGTTGCATGTCTTTTCCTGGGGCACTGGGGACAAATGTCTATTCCTTAGGTATGGCACCATTAGCTGGCCAAAGGAAGAAAATACAGTCCATTCTAGCTTGGTGAACCAGAGTTTAATTGGGGTTACTTACAGGAGCATGAGCGAGGGGTTGTTATTAGGAGCACATACAACTCCCAGACATCTACATCACTAAAGCGTCTTCCTCAAAGCAATTATTAACTGTTCATATGTCCTTGGGTAGGAAGGAGCCTTGTGTGCTGTTCACCCCTTTCATAAGTGAATTCAGGTAGACTCAGTCTTGTTAGGATATCATGAGGGTAGTGACACCTGATCTGATTTTAAGACAGCAATGGCCATGTAATACTCAGAGGACAGAGTTCCACAGCAGGGTGATGATTTCATTGAGAATATGTACTTTTTGTACAGTAGTTTGTAATGTTTATTCATTCATTAAGTCAGTCACCAGTCATTCAGTCACTTATTATTTTGTAATACAGGATAAAATTCTATCTCTGAATTTTATCCCTAGACCTTATTACTAAAACATAATTAGCTGTGTTTGGTATGTTTCTATACAAGGCTTCTCAGGGCCTTGCACATGCTAGGCCGGCACTGTAACCTGCAGTCTCTGAGGCACTGTGAGCTCTTTTCTTCCTCCAGTTAGTGCTTATCCTGGAGGGGAAGATCGTCTTCTAAGTCTGTAGGGAAGGAGTATAGAAGCCAAGTTTATTTCCTTAGAGTGTTAGAGACAGGAGGCTCCTGAAATACCGTGTCCCCAGAGCCTCAGAAGGCTGAGTATCAGGTCAGGGAGTGGCCAGGCATGTCTGTGTGGTTCAGTGTATAGCAGTGTATAGCACCTTGGAAAGTTGAGTCCAGATACTGAGAACAATTGTACTTTTGAATTAAATTGTAGTAAGCTTAAGTTCATGTTGTACTAGAATCTACTGTAGAAATAATTGCCCCCTTTGCTTTTTGTAGGATATGGAACTTGGAACTCTGGGACAAATAGAGGCAAGTATCTGGCCATACTTATCACCTTTGAACTGTACCTGTTATGTTTCTCTAACTGCCCATGTGACCAAACAGGGTTTAGGTGGGTGTCTCCAGGGCTGGCATAGGCAGTCCTTACAATGAGAAGGGCCTACCCAGCCTCAAGTAGCTAAGAGTTTGTTGTTGGCAGAGATCTCCTGTCCCACCAGAGCTCCCAAATAATAAGTATAAATGCTTGGCCAATATCACAGACTTGTTACTAGCTAACTCTTACATTTAAATTAACCCATATTTCTTATCTGTGCTTTGCCATGTAGCTTGGTACCTTTTCTTGGTTTGGCACGCCCATCTTGCTTCTCTCTGTGTGTCTGCTGGTGACTCCAGACTCTGCCCTTCCTCTCCCCTGCATCATTAGTCTGGTTTTCCCACCTAACCTCCTCCTGCCAGTGAACTCTTCTATTAGCCAATGAAAGGAATACATATTCATAGTGTACAAAAGGATTGTTACACAGCAGTTCCCCTAGCTTGTTTTTTCACCAAAAACAACTTTTTTTTTTTCTATGTTTGTCTCTGTCTGCTTCCTCCTCCCTTCTCCCCACCTCTGCTATCTCTGCCCCTCTATCTTCCTAACTGCAGGCTACGAGAACTATGGTTATGGCTATGGCTATGGCCAGGATAACACCACCAACTATGGGTATGGTATGGCCACTTCACACTCTTGGGAAATGGCTAGCTCTGACACAAATGCAAACCCTAGTGCCTCGGGTAGCGCCAGTGCCGATTCCGTTTTATCCAGAATTAACCAGCGCTTAGATATGATGCCGCACTTGGAGACAGACATGATACAAGGAGGTGTGTACGGCTCAGGTGGAGAAAGGTGAGTTGGGGTGCTGTTAGGGGCTAAGGCTCTTCAGGCTTGACACACTGTCTGCTGGAATCTTTCCTGAATGCTCCTTGGTGTCTGCTTTCTCTCTCCTTGCTCTGTACTTCCCAGAGGCTGTGTTCCTAATAACCTCCCTGCTAACCCCCCCAATGGCCAATTCCCCTATGTGCAGGGGTACGAGCAGGCCCCAGTTGTCTTGACTATACCCACAGAATGCCTCCTCGGGAGTAGAGGAGTTAATGTCTCCCTTCATGACAGCTAGGTATTCAGTCTAGATTTTGCATCTTCCACAGTGCCAGGGAAGGGCAAATTGGGTTTGGTGAGAAGGGTGAGATAAGCCTTTGGGGCTAACACTTCGAGCCAGGTCATCTCCACCCAAGAGGTTAGGCAGATAAGAGTATTTAATGGCCACTTGCTGGTGCCTTATAAGTGTGTACTTGTTGAAAGCATCCCTGGGGGAAACTCTTGTTCTGGTTTTGTAGATAGGGCTACTGAAGTGCAAGCAGGTCACACCTTTTGCCTAAATTTAAGTCAGTGGTAGGACTGTGCCTCGCCCTCAGGTCTGCCCCACTGTAGAGGATCCCCCCAAGTGTGTTGTCATTGGCTGAATTGGTTTTGGTTTTGTTTAGGAGTGCCTGTGCATAGTAAGAAGGGCACATATCTTTCTAGCATAGGATGAAGGGAAGTTGGATAGCTTCAAATGATAGGTGGGGGAGAGAGGGGCTGGACTGGTCACTGGGAGGGCCAAATAAAGTCCCAGGGCTCCTGGGGAAGAGACTTGGCTTGCCTGGTTCACACTGCAGCTTGCCGTGGTGCCTGGGATAAATGGCAGGTGCTTTATCTTTTGCAGTTGTTGATGCTGCCCAATGAGGCTTGGAGAAAGTACAGAGAGAGCCCCATACCTGAGAGGTATGGTGGAAGTTAGCCTAAGCATAGACTGTAGCTGAGGGTAAAGCATCTCTGTCCTAGGCAGGTAGACCAGCCTTCCTACTAGGTGCTGTGTTTTTTTTTCTGTTTTTTGGGGGCGGGGCAGGACCCCCCCCCCCCCCCCCCCCCGCCTTAAAGCTGGGCAAATGCTCTACAGCTGAACTACAAATCCAGCCATTTCTGAGCCCTTGGTAAGCTCATAATATCTCTTGAGAAATGTTCCACACTTTGTGTCACTTGTTCTGGATAGAAGAGCTTTTCAGGATTTAAGGGTACCCCCAACTGTCAAGATAAAACTAGCCCAGTGTTGTCACAGGTATTGAAAAAGCATTCCCTGTGCTTGGCTCTGCTCATAAGGAGCAGCTTTGGCCATTGTAATTACCGCAGACTAAACACTCTGGAAAGGCTGTGGAGGATAAGAGCTATCCTTCCATTTGTCACTCCTTAGGGTCCCCAAGCAGATACATAACTAAGTTCAAGTTCCCTATGAGGAGCTCTTGCTCCTCTGATGTTCTTCTCTGTGGCTTTTCTGAACAACAACAAGCCTGTCTTACAGGATTTCCTGTTCCAGGGCTAAGACTGGGAGTGACTGAGCAGGACAGGGCAGGAGTAATAATAGGCTAGGCCAGTTGGAGTCAAGGAACTCCAAGGGGCTCTCCCTGATGCTTGTCATGTGTCTCCACAGATATGACTCCTATGAGGCCTGTGACTCAAGGGCCATCCTGAGTGAACGAGACCTCTACAGGTCGGGCTATGACTATGGCGAGCTTGATCCTGAGATGGAAATGGCCTATGAGGGCCAATATGATGCCTACCGTGACCAGTTTCGAATGCGTGGAGGAGATACATTTGGTCCAAGGGCTCAGGGCTGGGCCCGGGATGCCCGGAGTGGACGGCCAATGGCCTCGGGCTATGGGCGCATGTGGGAAGACCCCATGGGGGCCCGGGGCCAGTGCATGCCTGGTGCCTCCCGGCTGCCCTCCCTCTTCTCCCAGAACATCATCCCCGAGTATGGCATGTTCCAGGGCATGCGTGGTGGGGGTGCCTTCTCTGGTGGCTCCCGATTTGGCTTCGGATTTGGCAATGGCATGAAGCAGATGAGGCGGACCTGGAAGACTTGGACCACAGCTGACTTCCGGGTGAGTAAGCTGGCTTACCTCTCCTGACTCTTGCTGGGGTATAGCTACCACCTCTAATTTGGCTCCTTCTTTCTGACCCAGACCAAAAAGAAGAAGAGAAAGCAGGGTGGCAGTCCTGATGAGCCAGACAGCAAAGCTACCAGAACAGACTGCTCAGACAACAGTGACTCAGACAATGGTAAATTGGGCAGCCTGGAGTCCTGCTCCCTGCCCCCTCCCTCCAAGGGGCTCCTGGACTGAGCTTGACTCTTCTCTCCTTGCAGATGAAGGCACTGAGGGGGAAACCGCAGAGGGTACTGAAAGTGCTGAGGCTATGGAGAAAGGCTCCCGAGCAGTAAGTAACCCTGGACCCCAGGCACTTGCCCTCTGCAGGTGGGGTCTAGGAAGACCGAGCTGGCCTAAAGAAGCACAGGCTTTGCTACAGGGGTCACAAGCAATGTGGTGGCACCTGTATGCAAGGTTGGTGAGTGGCCAACACAAGGGAACTTTGGGAGAGATGGGGATCTGTAGGTGCAGCAGGTGGTAGGAAGGGGGTGATGCTCTCAGTACTGACCCTTAACCTTTTAGAGCCAGTATAGGTGACTACCCTTTTAAAAGTTGAATTTTAAAATTGTGTGTTAGGAAGGAGAGGACGAGGAGGGAAAAGAGGATGGGAGAGAAGACGGCAAAGAAGATTCAGAGAAAGGTGAGTTTTCCAGAGGTGCCTAGGTACTGGGGAGGCTCTTCCAGGTACTTGTAGTGGGAGGGATCCAGCTGAGGGCAGGGTTGTGGCAGAAACATGGCCGGCTGGGGACCTTCCTTAGGGGACTGGGTATGTGTAGCAAGGGCCTCTTCTTACTTTGTGCCCTCCCAGTCTTCCTGTTTTTCCTAAGCGGAGGTTTTGGATGGTGTGGCCCCCAGCCTAGCACTCTGGTTTTGCCTTCAGGTGGGGGCAGCAGTCAAAAGTGTGGGGAGCCCCCCAGGTACAACCCCTCCCCTTGGTCCCTCAGTAACACACAGTTCCAAGTCCTCAGTGGCTGGTGTCCAAGCTGGGACCCTTGGTGCAGTTTTTACGGCTCTGGTTTGCGTGTCCTCTCCCTTAGCGCCTCTCCAGCCCTTGTTGGGAGTCCGTGTCCCCCCACCTGAGTGATGAGCGCCAGCAGGTACCTAACAGTAAATCCAGCCTCAGCCCACTGTTGCCGCGGTGCCCGGTGGGGGGTGGGCAGGGCCATGTGAACGGCCTCCCTGCATCCCGCCACCCAGTCCCTCTGAACACGCCTGTGTTCCCAACAAGACAGCCTGTCTTTGCCTTCCAGCTTCTCTGCACCCACTCTGTAGAGTGTGGGTGTTCCGGAAAATAGAAGGGTCAGCACATGTTCCCCCCCTCCTGGTGCCTAAGCCAAATCTACTTCCTGCTCAGCCCAGGGCACCCAGCCCTGCTCATGGCCTGAGGCTTTATGTATACAGCTGCTCTCAGATGGACCCTCTTGCGTGGACAGCGGGTGATTCAGCCACAGGCCACAGGGTCTAATCTGTGAGAGTCCTGCTGGTAACTCTGCCTCTCTGTTACCACAGGGCCCCTGACTGCCCAGGATGAGAGCACCCAGGCCAAGCGCAAGTTGCAGGCAAGCAAGAAGAGCCAAGATAAGCAGAAGAAGCGACAGCGAGATCGCATGGTGGAAAGGTAACTGTCTTCCCTCCATCCCTCTGCCTCACTGTGGGGCTGCCACCAGGAGAGCAGGGCCATAGCTCTGCCATCTCGCCGCCCTCTGGCCTCCCTTGGGAGCCGCCACCTGCTCTGCTGTGCATGGACCCTGCTTCCCGCCAGGCCCAGCTCCCAAGTCCTGGCTCATCCCCTGCCCCTCTGTGGCCACCTGGCGACCGCTGCCATCTGTGGCCTGAGACCTGGCACTGCTCAGCACCATTACCCAGAAGTTCCAGCGCTAGGTCACTCAGCGCACAAGCCCTGAGGTGCGCAGGGGGCCGATGCCCCTGAGGGAGGGGGCCAGCTCATCAGAGACTCAAGGTCCAAGGCGCCTGTGCCACCCCAGCTAGCTGCCAAGAGGCCACCACCGTGCCCAGGAGAGATGACAGCACCTGTGGGCTATGGCAGCCTCGGGGTCGGCTGTTGGCCCTGCCCTCCGGCCCTCTCAGGCCGGGCCTGTCTGTGGCTGAGCCCTTCACGCCCCTTGGTCGGGTCTGTCTGCCCTCAGGGCTCCCGCACTGGCGCTTGCCTCCTCCGCCTCAGACTCTTGCTCTTGCTGGACCTTCCACTCAGCCTCCCCGGCGCCCGGCCCCTGGGCTCTTCAGACAAAGCTGACCCCGTGGCCCAGATAAGGACGTCCGGCAGAGGTAGGGACCCGCCCCGAGGCCTTGGTGGAGGCTGGCCTCCTCCGCCCCTTGCCACGGTGGCCTGTTCCAGCCCAGGCCCTAGACCCCAGGCTTCTGCTGTGGACACGAGGCCCAGACAGAGCACCTCGCCCAGTGATTCCAGGCTGCCCTCTGGCAGGCCAGGCGGGCACCCTCCTTCCAGCTCAGACTGGTCTCTTCTTGGAAGAGGAAGATGAGGCAGCAGGTGCCCAGGCCTGCTGCCTCCCGTCCCTCCTGACACCACCCCCAGGCATTCTGAGCAGAGGATGGGCTGGGCCTTTGAGACCCCCCCGACCCCAGAAGGAAGATGCAGCACCTTTTCAGGCACTGCCTCGGGACTGCGTACTCCACTCTGCACCTCAGGGCCTCCTGGCTCTCGTCAGGGCATCCTTCCTTCTGGTCCCCAACTGGGCCAAATGCACAAGCTCCTGCCCAGCCTTGGTAGAGAGGCCCTCCGACAACCTTCCAGCGACTCTTTGCCTGTTGCAGCAGCAGCTGCCTTGGGTCTCAGCCTCCTGCCTTTGGGAAGGAAGAGTTCTTCCCCTATCCCCTACGTTGCTGTAACTGCAGCCTGCAGACTATGCCCTTCTGCTCCCGACCCTATCAGTCCCAGCCTACCCCTCTGCTGGGACTACACTTCAGATTGAGGCCTGTTTCAAGGCCTACAGCTGGGTTGGGTGAAGTAGCAGTGACATTCCCTGGGACCCTTACATCCTCAGCTGCTTGTTTCCCCCTGTGGCAGGATCCAGTTTGTGTGTTCTCTCTGCAAATACCGCACCTTCTACGAGGATGAGATGGGTAGACACCTTGACAGTAAGTTCCACAAGGAACACTTCAAATATGTAGGCACCAAGCTTCCCAAGCAGACTGCTGACTTCCTGCAGGTAAGTTTCTGAGCAGCATGTCCGCTACTGATTCTCCAGTGTCTGGGAGTACTGGGCAGCTGATAGAAACATCTGTTCTCCAATAGGAATATGTCACCAACAAGACCAAGAAGACAGAGGAGCTGCGAAAAACTGTGGAGGACCTTGATGGTCTGATCCAGCAAATCTACAGAGACCAAGATCTGACCCAAGGTGAGGAGGTTCCATCCCACCAGGATGGCTGCCACCAGGTAGGCCCCCAGCCTGCCCTTCTCTGCTTCTCAGTGCAGTGACATGATGTTCCTCTGTTCACTGAGTCTCAGGCTCATGTAGAAGTGGCAGGGAAAGTTAAGCTAGTCTTAGGTCTTTGGCACTTGAGATCAGTGATGACTGCTTTCTTCTACCCCTACAGAAATTGCTATGGAGCATTTTGTAAAGAAGGTGGAGGCAGCCCATTGTGCAGCCTGTGACCTCTTCATCCCCATGCAGTTTGGAATCATCCAAAAGCATCTCAAGACTATGGATCACAACCGGAACCGCAGGGTGAGTTGGGGCTCCGGTGTCCTCTATTGGGGTTGTGGCCTCCACTTGCCCACATGGGACTGTGAGGGAGGCAGGGGCAAGAAGGAAGGCCAAGGAGATACATGCAGACTGTTCGACAGGGGTGACGTTGAGCTGAACTTTTAAGGAGCACCTTGGGATATGGGTCCTTCATATGTACAAGGATCAACAGGTAAATTAGTTTCAGAAAACCAGAAGCCAACAAATTACCAATTACCAAATTACCAATGTGGCTAAAAGAGAGAAGAGAATTAACTTAAGAGGCTTGCTTCAGTCATTGGCAATGTTCAAATAGTCAAGTAAAGTATTAGAGTTAATGATGAACCAGAGCATCTGCCATGAAGGGTACAGGGAGATGGTCTGGGGCCATGTGGAGAGGAATGCTGACAAAATACAGGAACAGGACATTGGCCTAGGGGAGGAACTAGGAGCCTTGGATGATTCCCATTCCTAGGAGCTGAGTAGACTGTGCTGCTGTTATGATCATGGACAGAAGAAGTGTATGAGATATGATGCAGGGAGAGACAAACTTAATAGGAAAATTATTACATTGTACCTCATTGTTCCTAGGCCTTTCTGAAGCAAAACTATATGGTATGTGTTTGTTTTGTTTTAAGCTTATTACATCATTTTCCCCTTTCTTTTCCTCCCAACAAATCCCCCATGTGCCTCCCCTACTTTGCTCTCTTTCAAATTCATGGCCTCTTAGAATTTTTGTATTATTTATTTATTTGTTTTTTCGAGGCAGTGTTTCTGTATAACAGCCCTGGCTGTCCTGGAACTCAGTCTGTAGACCAGGCTGGCCTCAGATTCACAGAGATCCACCTGCCTCTGCCTCCCGAGTGCTGGGATTAAAGGCATGCACCACCAACGCCCGACTTCATAGCCGCTTTTTAATTGTTGTTACATATGAGAATTGGTGTGTATTGAGTGTGCATGTATGCATATGTGTTTATGTTTCCCTAACTAGATAAATACAACCTTCTGAGTCTGCATAATGTTATTTGTGTATTTATGTCTTCAAGGCTGATCTAAAATTGGATAACCAAGTGCTGCACTCTCCCCTAGGGAAGGAAGACCAGGCTGGTCTCGAACTCACAGAGATCCGCCTGCCTCTGCCCCGAGTGCTGGGATTAAAGGCTTGTGCCACCAACGCCCGGCCACTCAGCAGTTTTTAGTTGCCTGTAGTTCTTTGTCTAGGTTGAGGCCTTTTCCATTTGGCGTTAACAGGTCTACTGGTTTCATCCTGTCCTTTTCAAGTTATGTTTAGACAGTCATGTTATAAGACATCATGGATGTAGCTTTTGATAGTTCTAGAAGATACAATCTCAGCAAACTCTGTTCCTTTGGCTCTTACAATCTTTTCACCCTTCTTCCTCAATGATTCCTGAGCCTTAGACACAACTCTGTGTTTTAATTGGTTGTGGTTTTCTGACTTTACAAAGAGATGTTTCCATGATGGGGAGTGAAGACTGAATTTATCTGTTGGGATAAGGACAAGTATTTAGAATGTAGCTCAGGCTGGGTGTTGGTGGCACATGCCTTTAGTCCCATCATTCGGGAGGCAGAGACAGGCAGATCTCTGTGAGTTCGGGACCAGCCTGGTCTACAAGAGCTAGTTCCAGGACAGCCTCCAAAGCCACAGAGAAACCCTGTCTCGAAACATCCTCCACCAGGGGGGGAAAAAATGTATCTCAGGATTATGCTGCTTTAATGAAGTGGTGGTTGTAGGGTTTCTTCCAAATCCATGACTTCAGTAGCCCTGGATAGTTAACTAGGTTTCCTGGTCCAGTTAGGGAGAGGAGGTTGCAGGAGATAGAGAATGCATAACATTGATAAAATGTAAGGAAAAATAGCAATAGCTAAGAAAATATAAAGTCAGAATTGACATAGAGATTTTTTTTTTAAGATTTATTTATTATGTATACAACATTCTGCGTCCATGTATATCTGCACACCAGAAGAGGGCACCAGATCTCATAATGGATGATGGTGAGCTACCATGTGGTTGCTGGGAATTGAACTCAGAACCTCTGGAAGAGCAGTCAGCAGTGCTCTTAACCTCTGAGCCATCTCTCCAGTCCCGACATAGAGACTTTGCCTTTGATGAAGTTATAGGTGAGGCAATTTTAGACTAGTGGCTAAAATTTAGATAGTGGCTCACACCTATTATCCCAGCACATGGGAGGCTGAGACAGAAGGGTTGTTGTTAGCTCCAGGCCAGACGGGGCTACAAAGTAAAGCTTAATTTAAGAAAGAAAAGGAGCTGGGTGTTGGTGGCGCATGCCTTTAGTCCCAGCACTCGGGAGGCAGAGGCAGGTGGATCTCTGTGAGTTCAAGGCCAGCCTGGTCTCCAGAGTGAGTGCCAGGATAGGCTCCAAAGCTACACAGAGAAACCCTTACTAATATTTTGGTAACTGATTACTAAATTGTAATTGATGTATATCAACAATAATAACAGCTTCATAATCTGTACAGTTTAGCCAAACTGGTGGCACACACCTTTAATCTCAGCACTTGGAATTTCTGTGAGTTTGAGGCTAGCCTGGTCTGCATAATGAGACCCTGGCACAACAATAACAAAAGTAGAGTTTATCTGGGTTGGTGATATACACCTCTAATCCTAGCTCTGGAGAGACTGAGAAGGATTGCAAGTTTAAGTTCAGCCTGAATGACATTAGACAGTGTTATAAGGAAAAAGAGGAAGAGAGGGAGGGAGTGGGACTGGGAAGGCAAGAGTAGAAGGGTTAGCTCAATTGATAAAAGAGCCTGGTGTGCAAGGGTGCAGACCTTGTTCAGATTGCTGGCTATAGACATTTCTTGGCTTACTTGGCTTGTGGTCATGTCTTCTGGACATCTACAAACTTTCTTTTCTGTATAATTCTCCCCTGTGGCTCTGTTTGTTTGTGTTACTCTGTGTAGCCCTGGCTGTCCTGGAACTCGCTCTGTAAACCAGGCTGGCCTTGAACTCAGAGATCCTCCTGCCTCTGCCTCCCATGAACCACTGCTCTCAGGCATTTGAGTTGTTTCCACCTTTTGGCTAAAAGAATAATGCTCTTAGGAACCTTTGTTTACAGGTTAAATGTGTGGGTATGTTTCTTATTTCTCTTGGCTATATATCTAGGAATAGAATGTCTGCATTGAAGTGTAACTCTTTGGTTTTTTTTTGAGACAGTACGGTAACAGCCTTGGCTGCTCTGGAACTCACCATGTAGATTAGGCTGGCCTGGAACTCACAGAGATCTGCCTGTGTCTGCCTCTTGGAGTGCTGGGATTACAGGCATGTGCCACCACCACGTGACTTGAAGTGTAACTCTTAATTGCTTTAAGCAGCTATGAAATTGTTTTCCAAAGTAGCTGCACCATTTTGTATACTGAAAAGCAGCATAGGAGTGTTCAAGCTTCTCTATATTCTCACCAATGTTATTTGAGACAGGGTCTCATGTACCCCAGACTGATGTCTGTATGTAGCTAAACTCCTTCCTACTCCTCCTGTCTGGAATTGTACCATGTGTCCCCATGAAGAGTTCATATAGTATTGGAGATGGAACCATGGCCTTATGTATGCTGGGCAAGCAGACTGCCAGCTGAGCTACATCCCCAGCCTTTTCAACTTGGTCTAGCCATCCTAGGGAGTAAAAAGTGCTGTTCTTTGGAAAGTCTACTCGTATTCCTGGACCATTTGAAAATTATGTTGTTTTCAGCTACCAGAGTCTTTGTGTTGCTGTTAGATTTTATTTGCATTGCTGAGGATTGGATTCAGGACCTTGTTCATGCTGATTGCTGAAGATTAGATTCAGGGCCTTGTTCATGCTGATTGCTGAGGATTGAATCCAGGGCCTTGTTCATGCTGATTGCTGAGGATTGGATCCAGGGCCTTGTTCATGCTGAGCTAGCGCTCTATTAACTAGACTTTATCCCCAGTCTTGTAATTCTTTGTATATTTGAGACACGGGTCCCTTATATGATAGGATTTGTCAGTTTTTTCACTTTATTTTTTCCAGACAGTGTATCACTATATAATGCTGACTATCCTGGAATTCACCGTGAAGACTAGGCTGGCCTCAGAGAGATTCATCTGTCTCTGTCTCCCAAGTGCCAGGATTAAATTCACCACCATGCCCAGCTATTTTTTCATCTTCTTAATGTGTCTTCTACTTCACAAAAGGATTTATGTTATTTAAATGTTATTTTTAAATGTGTGTGCACCCCACCCCACCCCATGCAACTATACACATGTGAGTGAGTGTGGGAATCTGTGGAAGCCAGAAGAGGGCATCAGATCCCCGAAGCTAGACCTGCAGGTGGTTGTGAACCACCTGATGTGAACCCTAGGAACACACGTGGGTCCTCTGAAAAAGCCCTTAACTCCTAGCCATCTCTCCAGCCCCACACAAATGGCTTTTTGTTTGCTTGCTTGCTTGCTTGCTTGCTTGCTTGCTTGCTTGTTTTGCCATGCTGTAATGAACAAATCTACAATTTTGTGCAAGCATTTTACCACTGAGCAACATCCTCAGCTGTTTTATTTTGAGACATGATCTCACAGTGTAGGTCAGGCTGGCCTGAAACTTGCTTGGCTGCCCCTAAATGGCCTGGAACTGCATCTTGCTCCAGCTACAGTCATGCACTGTCACAGCCAGCCAGAAGTTTAATTTTGATAAAAATCCACTGTGTCTGTTTCTCCTTTTGTTGTTTATGCTTAGGGTGTTATCATCTAAAAATGCACTAAAATAAGGTTATGTTGGGCCTCCACCTCCATTCCCACTCCATCTTGAGATGGAGTCTCACTATGTATCTGTCTCTGGCTGGCCTTGAACTTACTATGTAGAGAGATTAGCTTTGAACTTGTGGCAGTCTTCTTGCTTCTGCCTCTTGAGTGGTACTATTCCAGGTGTGAGCCACTGTTTCTAGCCCTTGAGTTTTTTTGTTTCGCTGATTACAGTTAGGCCTTAATCCACCATTTAATTGTTTTATCATATAAGATCAGGACGTAATTTCATTCTTTTGCACGTGGATATAGTTATCCCAGTACCACTTGAGAGACACGTCTTTCCCCCAGTAAATGGCCTTTGCCCCATATAAAAAAGTCAGTTGACCATACTGTATGGGTTTGTTTCTTGAACTATAATTCTATCCCATTGTTGTTGGTTCTTTTGGGGTGGTGACAGGGCAAGAGACTTGTGTATTTATTGTTGTTGAGAGATCTCACTCTAACTTGGGCTAGCCTTGAACTAGAAGTATTCTTTGTGTCACTGCCCACATGCTGGGACTCTCTGTCTTTACGTAATCTGGTACCATAGCTTCATAATTAAATTTAAATTCAAAATGTGTGGCATCCAACATTGTTTTAAAAATTGATTTGGTTGTTGTATTTGATTTGGTTTTAGGATTAACTTGTCATTTTCTCTGAAAAACCTAGTTGGTATTCTGATAGAATTATGTTGAGTTTTAGATAAATTTGGGAAGTGCTGTTATTTTACAATATTTTCGTTGGTTCTTGGTGCAGTGGGCAGAGTGTTAGTCTTAACAGTGTTGTCTCCTAATTGATTATTTTGGGGGTGTGCTTGTTTTTTATTGTTTTTTTCCTTTGTTGTTTGTTTGTTTGTCTCCCCCCCCCACACACACACACACACAGGGTTTCTCTGTGGCTTCAGAGTCTATCCTGGAACTAGCTCTTGTAGACCAAGCTGGTCTCAAACTCACAGAGATCGGCCTGCCTCTGCCTCTGCCTCTGCCTCTGCCTC